CCAGGTCGATGGTTCCATTTGCTTGATCACGGCAACCTTCTTCCTGACAATGTATTTTCCCATCTGATTTATTACAGTTGGAATGATGAGCGGTTAAGTTTGACGTGCGACATGGAACTTACACCCAGCGTTGGGTTGAGCAAAGATACGAAACTGAATAGGGGCGATAAGGTTCAAAAAGTGAGATCTCGTGTATATGCGCGCTAAAGTCGACTACTGACATTGGTATCAAATGGGTATATCGATGAATGAGTCTTGAGCTGATCCAAGTAGGTGCGTGGTATCTGCGTGTCGATATGGTCAAGATGACGATGATGATCAAAATCAGTCCTTTGCTCATCAAACAGCGAGAATACACTGAGAACGTACAGTAGAGGAACTTTGAAGACCCAAATGGGTCCTCGCTAAATGAATGAGGTCGGGTTCGGAGGACATGGCGGTTGCAGAGCAGATCGCGACCAGCCCTCGACGCGTTTTAAACCACCCGTCACATGCGTGACACGAACCACGTGCTGTTCTGACTCGCAGCTCGCTGTCCCGAATCCCGATGGCACAATTTCATTTCTTGGCCTATCCACAGAACGAGCAAACATGGCCTACGACTCGATTGCACAGAAATCGTTCATTACCGTCCTCGAAAATCGGAAAACCAGAAAAGGGAACTTGAAAAGTAAAGTATCAAAGATGATGGCAACATTGATCAACTTAAAGTCAAAGCCCAATTCCTCCCAAAAACTTCCTCGTCAGGGTATATAGTTCTTCCGCCTTTTCTGGATCATCGGCCATGGCAGATGCCGTCGCTATCCTCCCCACAGGACTGCTCTCTAGATATGCACCTTTGTACCTGTCTCTGGCCTCTCTAACAACCTTGCTGGCTGCGGCGAACACAGACGTATACGACCCCCTTTCAGCATCTTTGATCGCCAACCGAACGATAGGTGTCATAAGCCATGCAACAGGCCACTTGTGTGAGAATGTATCCACGCCACCAGGGTGTATTGAGATGACTGTGATCGGTACGGCAGGATCAGACGTGTCCAACCGCTTCTGTAGGTGTTTCGTCCAAAGGACTTCGAGCAGTTTCGAGTGGCCTGGAATTAGAAATGAGATCAACGCAGGTGGCATACGGGATGATCTGGCGTACTGTATTGGCGGAAACCAGCCATGAATTTGCCCTTGTAATCAATATAAAAGTCGTCCACTTCCTTAAATTGAGTGGATGACGGCGTGATCTTGTGCAGTATCGAGGTGAGCTAAAAGTGGAGTTAGATCCCCCTGTGGCGTCGATATATTAGAGCCACTGACATTGACAATCCGGACATCCGAATCTGGCTCTGTCAACGCAGTCGAGGTCAACAGAGGCAAAAGAGTTTCTGTGAAAATGAATGGGCTGATGTAACTATCAAGAAGAGCCATCAGTATAGCTTCCGCTGGGTAAGCTGGATACACGAACTTGACAACTACTACATTCGAAGGTCCTGTGGTAGAGTTAATAGAGGACAACAGGAAGGACACATGCCCAAATGCTCACCATCGGCTGTCTTCTCCAACGGCGTCTCAGACCTACAGCATCATGATCAACATCTCTCCCCAGCTCTTGGTAGCGGGACGAACGTACATGAAAGGCTGCAAAGCCGCATTATTCACTGCAAGAGCGCCTGTTTCAGTCTTCCAGAGCAAAACGGATCATATACCCACTCACCAATTATATCTAACCTCTTCTCCTTGGTCAAGAAATCCTCCGCGGCCTTCTTTGCCTCTCTGGGATCACTCAGGTCCAACTTGAGCCACAGCACCTCACCACCTTTATCCTTCCAGCTCTCATCCTTCTTCAACTCTTCGATAGCCTCCTGCGCTTTCTTCTCGTTTCTAGCGCCCATATACACTTTAGCACCACCTCGAAGAAGGTGCTGTATCGTTGCATATCCCGTTCCACGGCTGCAGTTACAATTCGACGATCAGCACGGGTCTAAATCTTCGGTACAGCAAATATCGACGCAAACACGTACTTTCCACCGGTAACAATAACAACTTTCCCCTTCAAATCCACGATATCGTTGAGGGGGTTGAACTCCTTTGTTCCAAACATGGTCGCTGCTGGTGGTGCTGGTGGTGGTCAATGGTAATGAAGACCGGGTCTTGGACTAGGCTAGCCTTATCGTCGTTTAGCGTGGGTTTTAGTTTTGTTCCCAGGAATGTTCGCTTGTGGAGGTGACACTTCGTGACCTAGATTCATTTTGTATACAGGGCCCGTTGGTGAAAGTGCGAAGGAAGAATGGAAGGGTGCTGTAGGAATGATGGAAGAGAACAAGGGGAGACCCGAGGGACACATACTCGCGTCCTTGCATGGGTTGTGCCGATAACTCCGACTCCGATAGCGCTGCAGGCTGTTAAATTCCTTGGGCTTCAAGTTTCAGCACACCATTGAACGACTTGCTATATCCTACGATCATTCAAGAGCGCAGAGGTTTCAAGTCTCTGCGCCGGGAATATGGAGCAGACCAAGGTCGCACTTAGAACCACTCGCTGCGGCAGAGTACTACATAGTTTGGAAGATAGTCTTTCAAAGCCTGCGCCGGTGAAGGGTAGGGCCCCGTCACTGTGCAAAGCGGCTGGTGTCGAATCTAGGTCGCACTACCAGGCTTACCAGACGGCCGGTCATATAAACAATGAACGTAAGGGCACAATCTGCAATACCAAAAGTGCGACTAGAAAAGTAGAACTAGCAAGGTAACAAGTTCCTAGCGAACAGTCACAATCATAGCTAGAACTAGTAGCCACCCAAATCTCCAACCGCGAGTCTATAAGTACGCAGAACTGCAAGGTAACACTATAGCCAAATAATCAAAAAACTAAACAAGATCCTATCGTATGTGAAGAATATATCCAAGGCGCCATAACATATCATGTCAGATCTCGAAAGCCATCTCATGAATCGCTACTCCCTGTCTCTCTCTCGTTCTCTATCCCACAACCCATCAATAGCACCTCTACCCCTCTGCCCCGTCGACCGTATTGACCACGACCTTTTCGGGTCCTCTGCCTGTGGCTGCGGTAGCTCAAGGTGCCTCCTCAACGCCTTAATCGAAGCCTGCTGCTCACTCTCCTGACGACGATTCTCATCTCTCGCCGCAGAGAAAGCCGAAGCCTCCACCTCAACATCATGCAGCACCAACACGGGCCTCACCTCTTCCTCAACTCCTTTTCTCGAACCTCTCTTCCTAGGCGGCGGCACACTCCGACTGCGACAATACACATTCACCTTCGTCTCCGCTCTTCCTCTTTCTACTTCTCCTCTCGACTCCCTCGACCCAAGTCTCGTAACCAAATACGGCGTCGTCGGTCTCGTCGGTGGTCTCAAATTCGTCGCATCAGTCAGCGTCATATTCGAATTCGAAGTCGTCGTTCGAGAATGCGTACTCGTAGTCGTCGCATTCGTATTCGTCGACGTAGAATGTCGTAGGATTCTTCTCCCACCAACAGCCTGCATCGCTCGTTCCCAACTAGTCTGCGTGCGTTCTTTTGACTCCCTAGGTGGTTCTTCACGAGAATCGCACCTCGAAAGTGAACGCATTCTCCTTAGATACGTCCCGGTATCTTCTTCGTCTGAGCTACCTGAAGACTCTAGATCCACAGTCGTAGCTGACGAAGTCGATGCGGATGTCGAGGCTGATGTAGACGTTGAAGTCGACGTCGATGTCCTCGAAGACCCAGAAGAAGACTTTGATTTGGGTTTTGTACGTGGAAGAGGTCTAGGTGTATCTTCACCTTCACCTTCCCCATCATCCTGCCCCAAACCAATCCCACGAGCAGAAGCCATATGCCTCAAATACGCATGCGCTTTCGATGGCGTACCCGGTCTCGAATTGGAAGGTGGATGTACGGGGTAAAGCGGCTTTGGTTGGTGGGGTGGATTGAGTTGGAACGGAGTAACGTGCGAGGACGAGGACGTGCGGGATGGATGGGTTGATCTATGTGGGGTAGTAGGTCTATGTGGAGTCCCTGGTCTTGAAAGGGACAAAGGCGATGGTGAAGCTGGTCTGCTCCCCCCAGGCCCATGGTTCAGATGAGAATAGGAATGCCTCTGATGTAACTGCTGATGTACTGGCGGCATCAACCCCGCACCTTCGGAAAATTGCCGTTTCGCTTGCAGGTGCTGAGAACGGAGATATTTGGGCTGTTGTTGCTGGTGGGAGTATTGCGAATTTAGTGTAGCCGTAGATTCCGTCCTTCGTGGCTGAGGAACTACTGTCTTTATCGTTGTAGGAGACTCGAGGAGGTCTGAATTTCCGTCGTCAGATGCACAGCCTAAAGACTGAATAGACGCTGGGGACGGAGGCGCGTCCGGTAGGGGATTGGGGTTTGCGGTGGGTGTAGGTGTGGTCGCCCTGGGAATTAGTCCTGCCAAAAAGCTCACTACGCCTCCCAATTTCTTCGTCTCGAGCTCTTTCGTGGGATTCGGTGACGGTTGCCTTTCTCTCGGCGGTGTAAAGACCCTTGTCTCTTTGTACCCCGCCTCACGCAAAAGCTCTTCAAATCCTTCATACTTGTGAACGTTCTGTTGGGAAAGAGGTTGCTTATGGCCAAGGGTTAGAGTACTGGGGTAACGACGGGGAACGGGCGTGTGAGGTTGGCCATGGTTGTCATGATGAAGGTTCTGTTTAAAAGGTGAATCAAAAGAAAATAGCAGATAAAGAGTGAATATACCTGAGATTGGGACATGTTGTATCATTTGGACTGTCGAATGCTCACCGGCGTCGAAGTCGCTCAGCTATGGCTATGTTGACGGCTTGATGAGAGAGATTCCCATCAACCGTCCTGAGAATTCTCTCGATGATTTCAGTCACGTGCACAGTCTCGACCAATGGTTTCAGTGGCAATTCAAAAAGGCACTAAACGTGTTTTGTTACTGGGAGATTTTGTTACGAAGAGCGTAAAGAAGAAGAACATGTAAATATGAAGGAAAAAGAAATGTTAAACGGTTATCCGATTCTGCTATTCTCCCTGGCTGGGAGTCGAACCCAGCTTTCGCGCGTCACTGAAGACATACTGTAGGATGACAGGCGCGTGTACTAACCGATATACTACCAGGGAGTTATTTATATGAGAAAACTGTTTTTGACAGCCTCTTCCTTTCAGTGGTCCCGCGGACCATTCCCGCTGCCGCAGATTGCTCTGCACTCAATCTCTTCGTCCGTTCCACTCTTCTTCACTTACCACCATCACCCCACCACCTCCTCTCTCCTCCACCATGATGGCAACAGCAAAACCCGTCGACATTACCCCAGCTGCAGCATCCTCGAGCGCCAGCGTCCCTGTATCAGCACCAGTTCCTGATAAATATCGTGGTGCAGTTGTCGAGGTGTGTAGAACTTGATCATCGGTTATACGTAGCTCATTCTGTTTCCAAATCGTAACAGGACCTCCAACTCCCACCGGCATTCGCTCTACCACAATCAGAACCTATCTCACGAGTCATCGAGTTGGCTTTCGAACGCGACTTTTCATGTATCCCGTGCGTCACTTTTCGCATCTCGTTTTTTCTCGTACTCATCGACACCTAGTGTTCTGGACAACAAGAACCGTAAACCCCTAGGCTATGTTCAAGTATCCAAGTTGAAGGAGCTATGGGAGGCTGGGCAGGCTGATCCTGTCAGTGCCGCTTCGGTCATTCCATCTGACGACTCGTCCTAATCTTGGTTTCATGCACAGACTTCCCCAGTATCAGCACACATGACAAAGTTCAAGCGGTCGAATAAACACCCGTATACCCTCATCACGCCGCTCACACCGCTTGCGGAGCTCGAGGTGTTTTTGAAGCAGAATATTTTTGCACTGGGTACGTTCGCCTTCGGTTCTTAAAGCACTTCTCCTTTGTTCTGTTCCGCATCTTTCTCTACAGCTCTGCCGGGAACCGCTCTTGATCTCGAGAAGAACAGTCCAGCATTTCCTGTTAACCCGTTATCACACATTCATATCTCTTCACACCGACGTGAACCTGCCATTCTCCTTCTCCCGGTTCTGCTTATCTATGCCACCTACACATAACCAACACCATTACTAACACCATTCATAACCTACAGTAACCGACGCCTCACGCAAATTCGTACTCGCAGTCGCCACATTGCAGGATTTGGAGAACTTTGTCACGCGGAGAGGATGACTTTCCTGATTTGTTTCGTTAATCACATTGATTATTCGCCATTTCTTGTGTTCGCGTGCTACACACTACATGCTTCAATAGACTCCTTGCCTTCCATCCGTATACCTGCAAATATGCCCTTGGTATGCATGCTACTAAGATCCTGCGAATCCCTGCTAATCCAGCTTCAGTTCGCGAGGCTAAGCTGCGGTCGGTGCCTATTGGGAACAACAATAATCGCGCCAATGTTTCTGAGAGTCGTGGAACCTAGCATCATCATGTATGTCGCATGCATTGCCTTGCCCGGCGGTGTCGACGAGCCAGAAGGAACCCTCTGACCATTTAACGTCAAGTTTCAGCGCTCGCAACCGTTCTTTGAAAACCGTTGCGAAGCATACAAGGTCTTTCTTCTAAAAAAACTTTATTTTGACGGTGTCCGCTTCAGGGAGTACACCACTTACTAGGACACCCTTTGGAATCCTTACCGGGTTCCCAAAGTGATCAGAAATGGTAAGGGTCCTATCCACTACATAGCCTAGTAATAGACGTATTATGGGTGACCGAAAATCCAATCTTTCGATTGTGCCGTATATCCTCTGGAAGATGCGAGCATTGTCCCTTGTTACGCGCGCTATAGGTAGGATATTCGAGACCTTCGGTATTATATCTCTCGGGACGATGAGAATGTTTCTCGGAGATGATTGCGTACTTCCTACATACGATGGTTCGAATAAGGGCAGCGAACCACAGTATGAAGACTTCCTAGGCACTCTAAGTTCTGCAAACATTGCATATTCGAAAGACCTTATTCCACTGCCACGGATGAGAATGTGACCATCTTCCTTGGAAGATAGTAGCAATTGTTCAATCTCGAAGATGCCTTCGAATGACCTTCGACGCTCGAGATAGTCATCTGAGTACGTCCCAACAATGTGCACCTCCATCATTGTCATTTCCAACTTCTCCACAAGTTCGTCTATCCTCCAGTGTCCCAAATCCAATGCCTGTATGTTATAGTTAGACAGTGCTTATTGACGTGAGTGAAAGACAACCTTTGCCCATTTGATAACGCCGTCCCAGTCTAAGGGTAAACCCAAATCGAGCTGTAATGAGATGGCTACGACGACGTGGACATCCATCTTCTCTAGCTCCCCAAGTAAATCCACACTTGGTGAGATTACTTTTGAGCAATAATAGTCCCATGACTTGCAGGAGAATGCAACAAGTGGGTTTGCAGAATTGAGCTTCTGAAACCACAAGGCATTGTCACTATCAAAGGACTCTAAGTGATATAGAGGATATGATGGTGTAAAGGCAGATAAAGTCCGGAGTAGGAGTGTGGCTACACAGTCACAATACTCTGGCTCTGACATCGCAGGAGTGTAGAATTTACCAGAACGATTTGGGTCTGCAAGGAATTCTGGGAAAGTAGCATGTGCAAATTGGATATCATGGTTGGTTTTGTCTGGGATTTGCAGGACTGAATGCAGTCGAATTAGGAGGGTTGAAACTTTGCAAATAGGAATGTTTGAGAAGTCGGAACATCTTTCGAGGCTGCGCCAATTGTCTAGTTTTTGCTCCTCCTGCACCTTTTGTACCTGTCGTTCCTCCTGCTTCAGCCACTCCATCCGCTCCAGCCACTCCAGCCGCTCCTGCAGCTCCTGCAGCTCCTGCAGCTTCAGCCGTCCCTGCCACTCCAGCTGCCCCTGCTGCCCCTGCTGCTCCTGCCGCTCCAGCTGCTCCAGCTGCTCCAGCTGCTCCAGCCGCCTCTGCCACTGCTGCTGCCGCTGCTGCTTCTGCCGCTCCTGCCGCTCCTGCCACCCCTGCCGCTCCAGCCGCTCCAGCCGCTCCAGCTGCTCCAGCTGCTCCAGCTGCTCCAGCCACCCCTGCCGCTCCAGCCGCTCCTGCCGCTCCAGCCGCCTCTGCCACTGCTGCTGCCGCTGCTGCTTCTGCTGCTCCTGCCGCTCCTGCCGCTCCTGCCACCCCTGCTGCTTCAGCCACTCCTGCCGCTCCAGCTGCTTCAGCCGCTCCTGCCGCTCCAGCTGCTTCAGCCGCTCCTGCCGCTCCAGCCGCTCCAGCTGCTCCAGCCGCTTCAGCAGCCCCTGCCACTCCAGCTGCTCCTGCCGCTCCTGCTGCCCCAGCCATGCCTGGCACTCCAGCTGTGCCAGCTGCCTCAGCTGCTCCAGCAGCTCCTGCTGCTCCTGCTGCCCCAGCAGCCCCAGTTTCTCCAGTTGCTCCAGCTGCTCCAGCCGCTCCAGCAGCCCCTGCTGCTTCAGCTGCTCCTGCCGCTCCAGCTGCCTCTGCCGCTCCTGCAGCTCCTGCAGCCCTAGCTGCTCCCCCAGCTGCTCCCCCAGCTCCTGCTGCAGCTCCAGCCACTGCAGCTCCAGCTGCTCTAGCTGCTCTAGCAGCAGCCGCTCCAGTCGCTCCAGTCGCTCCAGCCGCTCCAGCCGCTCCAGTCGCTCCGGTCGCTCCAGCTGCCCCAGCTGCCCCAGTGGCACCTGCAGCTCCTGCAGTTCCTGCAGCACCTGCAGCACCTGCTGCACCTGCCACTCCTGCTGCACCTGCTGCTCCTGCAGCTTCCACCTATTCTGTGCATTCTGTGCATTTCGTGCCTTCCATGCATTCCATGCATTCCGCAACTTCCGTGCCTTTTGCCTTTTGTGCAAGTATGAGTGATAGAAAGTAGGGTTATTAGGGGCATCCAAGGGGTTAACAGAAGAGCCACCATAATGGGGAGTAACCAGCAAACATAACAATGCCTGCACTTTGTCCCAGTCATGACAGGTTGACAGAATCTGATGGTATAATATGTCTAAAGCCGAGTAGGGTGATTTCCCTTGCTTGACATAGATACACATAATGGTATCTAGACGGACCTGCGGGGATTCATAATCGACATCAAGGTATTTGATGACAGTGGATGCAAAGATGAACTGTCCATCAGCTCTCACAACAAGCTTCCCAATGACATCTTCCCCAGGCCACGAGGACCCTTCTTGTCCGAATGCACGCCAACGCCTCTTTCGCAGAGTCGCGAATTCGTCAATGAGGTATTGATGGATATCACAATTGACATTGTCCAATGCATTGACATTGAAGGTTTCCAGGTGCCTCTCAAAGCCTTTGTCGTCAAAGCTGTCTCGGATCTGGGGCTCGGGACGACTGAAGAGGAGGATGATCCACTGGCAGGAAAAGTAGGAGGCCGAATGAGAGATCAAGGCCCGAACAATAGCCAGCACCCTCTCTTGCTCAGCTCTGTCAATACATTCATCAAGACCGTCAATAATGATGGGGTACGGCAAGAACCCTTGCTCTTCTGTGGCTGCAGTGTGCAGGCTGGAAGATAATTCGACCAACAGTTGTTGAGCCTGGTTCTCGCAAGAAGTATGGAAGATGTTGGGATCAGAACGAATTGTATCAATGATAGCGGGACCAAGGGTGGTGCGGAAAGGTGATCCTGGTTTGCAGAATTGGTATGCAATACTGGCTACTAGGGGTCCTAGCTTGTTCCGAGTCGAATCGGTCCGGGAGAAGAAGAACGCTGCACCAAGTCTGCCGCTCCTGGCATACTTCTCCGCGAGGTGCTGCGCAATCGCAGACTTGCCGACACCGGCTGAACCGTGGACCCAGAGGACGCTGTTGGCCTTGGACTTATCCTCGATCCGGCTCGACAGCTTCTCGAGGATCTGAAGGCGTGTCCCTTCGTGACAGTTCGGAGGAGGAAATCGCTGTTCTGAATCATAGCACGCATTTGGGGCAGTATTCTGCGCGAGTATCCGTAACGCCTCTGTAGGACTGTCAGCCGTTATTTATCAATATCTGTTGGACGCTCACCTGCATCCGAGACTTTGCGTAGAGTCTCTGTGCCATGAGCGTATGAGTTACCACACAAATTGACGAAATCTTGGTTACTCGCCTGCATCCGAATTAACATTATATGCATAGTTATTCT